ATCTGCAAAATTAGCCAATCATATTTAAGTGCGATATATAAGCATATCGCAGGGTGCGAGATATGCATTTATTCTTTTTTTAATAAAACAGAAAGAATAGTTTCACATTTTAAAAAATGTACAAATTTTGTTGCAAAATTAACAACTAAAAAAAGAAAAGAAATCTTTAAATTAGTTGATGTTCCAAAAAATATATATATAGTAATATTTTCATAAATGCATTCTTTATAAATGCCAAATATATACTTAAATATTTTGCTCCAAATACAATTAGGCTTTTTTAAATACACACTTTATAAGTGTATGTCCTTTCTAAATGCATGTTCAAGTGCTAGTCTAAATATATATTTAACCTATATACATTTTGTTTAGTATTCTTTAAATCCATATTATTAAAATATATTTTTAAGAGTGTGTATTTAGAGAAATCTGAGTAAATATATATAATCTCTATAAATATACTTTTTCTTATTGTTCTTTAAATATACATTATTTTTATTTTTATTTTTTTTTAATAAATTCGGCAGTCATGTCTTTACTTTATTAGGCTTTGTAATAATTTTTTAGACTATTAAAATTTTAGAGAGACTTATCGGTGAGTAATAAACTCTAAACATGTCAGCAGATAGCGTATGAGAACTATCTCTAAACGACATGTGCCATGCCCAAGGGCCATATAACTATACCTAAATTACAAGTAAAGACTAACTCAGTTGCTCACTGAGTACTTATATTCAACCTGCTATAGTAGGATTCTCCTCCTTCTGGACCTCTCCTGCAATTGGATATGATCCAGCTCTCAACTGATAGTACCTACTGCCCGTTATGACCATCTCTCCCTCTTTCAGACTTCTTCCACCTAAGCCTGACAGCAAAATTAAAACCCTTATCTATATATATATATAAAAAATAAAGCCATGTTTATGAGAAATATAAATATTTTAGAAAAAAAAATACCTCACAGTAGAAAAAAAAACTTTTCAACAAATTTTAAAATAGTCTAACATAAATGAACCAAGATGAAAAAAGCGAAAAAAAAAAAGTAGCCATGACACACTATTATAGCCCATGCCAGGTATAAGAATAAAAATTATATAATAATTGCAAAAAATTAATATATCTCAATTGTAAGATGTCATCTTATCGTAGAGAACTCGTTCTGAGTACTGATGAAACTTGGGTATCTTCTAAATGGCATACTGATCTCTTCCCCATACCGTAGCATCATATTGATAAACAAACCAAACACATAGTTGCATTCTACTAAGTACATCCGAATTAGGAAGGTATAAACAATGCCGATCTTTTGGAGGGGTGAGCCCAAATGCCCACTTTTTTTTGAAAATTTTGAATAGAACAGCAAAAGTGAGAGGGAGATAGAAAAATCAAGAGGAAACACCAAAGAAAAAGCTATCCAAGCCTGTACAGTACTAAGTCTTTTCGGTGAGTGATAAACTCTAAGCTTGTCAGCAGGTAGCGTATGAGAACTACCTCTAAATAACAAGTGCCGTGCTTACAAGGTCCCTTTTCCCATATCTCATGTTAAGGCTCCTTTTGAACCAAGCCATGATGTACGTTATTCAAAGGAAAGTCTCCAAATTTTCAAGGAGTGTTGTTAAAAAACTCATTTGTTGTTCTCCTTCTATTCTATTCTTTTGCATTATAGATTATTTCATTAACAAAAAGGCCCCAACTTCTCATAAACACCTTCTTTCCAGAATTTTGAAACCAAGGGCACCACCTTTTGCCAGTTATCTTGTTTTCTAACGCTTCTGGTTTGCATGCCAAATGTATAAAGGAGTCCTCCTTAGAGTAAGTTAACCTTTACATAAACCGTTCTATAAGCATACTTCTTCTCTCTAACAAAATTTTTGTTTTTGTTCGGTAGGAAATTTTGGTTCAGATGATCGTTAGAAAGAGATGTATACTAAATATACATTATTAAAGTGTTTCAAAAGCATATATATATTTATATTTTTTACAAATTATATTTTATATAAACTAGTGATACTATGTTTTCAAAACTACTCAATTATTTTTTGAACAAACAAATAGCTATATAGTTAGAACCTTATTTCCACAAAAAATAAAAAGATTCCATCAACTCATTTTATGCCTTATAGTTTCTTGTGAATAAGCATTAAATTGGGTATATAAGCCTAAAACAACTGAGTTATATAAATTTCTTAATCCACATCTTAAACTTCCTGATAGATAAGTACTTGAAGATTGAATTTTAAATGATACAGTTGGTGAATCTGAAAAAGTGATGCTAACTATATTAAAAGAAGATCAAGTTGGTATTATATTAACTTTTGACAGTTGAACTAATATTTGAAATAAAAATTTGTTAGAAGTAGTAACACTGGTCGAAATTTTTTTATATGATAGGACAATATGAAGGCGATATATAAAAAAACAACCAACCAAAAATCGGCTATAAGATATAAAACTGGTCAATAAAATCTTAATATCTTAATATTAATAAGAATTGTGATGAAATGAACAGATTGTCATACGATTTATTAAATTTCTTGATGATAT